AGATTCATTGTTAAATATATATACATATATAGATCATATATAGAAAGTTTACTTAGAAATTAATTTTGAGGTTGTTGTTGATGCTGTTCACGTTTGATATAGCCATGTTAGATTGTTCAATAGCTGTTCCACTGTTATCGTAATTTTTAAGATAATTTTCCTTACCTCGATATTGCGATATATACACAAGTGAATGTTATCAACACATTTTTGGAACGGAAATAAGAGTTATTGCACTTGTTAACCGGGCTCACTAAGGAATTTACAAAAAAGAAAAGCCCAATTTTCTCGATCCTCAAGGACAATTTCCAATTTTCCAATTTGAATAGAAATTCAAAGAGTGTTCTAGTTAAAGTGTACACTTTAATCGTGCATTTTGCACTCTTCGTTTCCTCCTTATTTTGATCGATTAAATTAATTAATATATACATACTAGATTAAATAGATTTTTAAATAAATTCGAAAATCAAAAATAATACTCGAATTCACAAATAATATTCGAAAAGAAACATCTTGCAATAAGAACACTCGGTTTATTCCATTTTGAATAGAAACAAATTAGATCCTCGTTAACCAGTTTGAAACGAAGGAACAACATCTAAGGACGTGATACAAAGGGAGGCTAGTATCAAGTTTGATACATCGAATTATCGATTAGAAATTATTCTCTGATACCTCAAACCACCGAGTACAAATTGCTTTCGAAGCTGTTTCGTTAACCTTATCACCATGATCGTTGCTACTTATTGACAATGTAATATTCATCGCTGCTATCGAATAATATCATTTTAAGAAAAGGATCGCGCATTTCTACACGATTCTCATCAATTTATAAAAGAAAGAACGGTTATGATATTTTTCAATCATTTGGAAACAGATTTTATTAAATCTGTAAATCGCATGATGGAGGAAAATTACGAGTGAAATTGATAATTTTCGAGCAATATTAAACAAAAGTGGAAAAAGAGTAGAGATTTCAAAGAAAGAATAACAAAATTTTGTCCATTCATCTAGAATCAAAATATTATTCTACAAATCGATATCGATTATACACGCATCATTTTAAGAAAAGGAAGAATTAAAAATAGAAGAGGAATCGAACAATGTTTTAATTCTATAAATCGTCTTGAAAAAAAGGAAATAAAAAAAATAAAAAATAATAATAAAAGTAAAAATAAAAAAAAAAAAGAAGAGAAAAGATCGCACGTTTCGAAAGAATAATAAATTTTTTATCGATACTTCTTTCAAAATAAATATAGATATCGGAATTTGATATCGATTATATATAGCACCTTAAGAAAAATAAAAATGGAAGAGGAGCAAAGAATCAAATGTTAAGATTTTTCAATTCTACACACGTACATACCATTTTAAGGGAAAAATAAAAGAAGAGTAAAAGATCAAACGATCGCATGTTCCAATAAAATTCTAAAAATTCTATCAATCCAAAATATCACAAATCGATTTTAAAGATTAGTTTAAAAATAGATGAAAGAAGTGAATCGAAATTATATATTACCAAATAAAATTATAAAAAATTTTCTTCGATTTATATCGAAATTAGAAAATACTAGAAATCGTGCTTTCGATCATATAAATCTTAAGAAGATCGAACAATTGTATATATTTCAAAAATTCTGTTTAACCATTTTTGATCAAGATAAAAAAATTTTATCAATTATATAAACCATCATTAGGAAAAGAAACTACTAGATAAAAAAGAAAAATTGAAGAAGAAAAAATCAAAAATAAATGAATCAAAATGATCATATAATTTTTAAAATTCAATAATTCTATTAATTCACTTTCGATTAAAATTAATAAGAAACATAAAAAATTGTGGCATCGATTACACCTTAATTACATCTTAATAATAATAAAAAATAATAATAATAATTTCAAGAAATCAAAATAAAAATTCGAAAAATTTTCTTAATCCAAAATCAAAATGGCGAAGCATCAAAAATCGTGCAATCGTTGGAACAATTGCAAAGTGATCCGCGATACGTCTAAGTACGATGTTTGGACGCACCCTCGTGTACCCCCCACATAACCCGCGATGACAGTGAGCGTGACGCGAAAAGCGCTGGTGGTCAATAGATGTATTAAATCGTAGACATTAAGTCGAACAAAGTGAAGCTTCGAGCGGGAAAGAGGGAGAATCGGGCGAACGAGTCGACGTTTCGTCACCTGTTCGCCCTGTTTCATCAGCGAAAGCCTCGGCC